ACAAATGAAGAGAAAAGATATCTTGATAGAATGCACTATGAAAACTATAATGAACTTCGACGCGCTGCTGAAGTGCACAGACAGGTTGGTTTATTTTAAAATTGTCAAAGTATAACCAATATTAATTCTTTTTTATATTATTTATTTAGGTAAGAAAATATGCTCAAAAAACTATTAAGCCGGGTATGACAATGATTGAGATTTGCGAGTCAATTGAGAACGGAACTCGTACATTGATAGAGGAGAATGGTTTAGAAGCTGGTAATTATTCATTTTCATTTTGAGTAACCCGTCAGTAGACATTAGTAATTATAGCCAGAGGCGAATCTCCTTTGAATTGTTCCCGTTTGCAACACTCTGTGGTTATCCTTTAGTTTTCAATGGATAAGAACAATTTTTCTGCAAACAATATTAAATTTAATTCCTTATTACTCACCATCAATCTTTAATTTTCTCTCGAGTTGATGGTCTATCCAAAAGGAAACATTTGTATTTAATAATATGAAAAATATTTTCTGATATATAGGTATCGGCTTTCCAACTGGATGTTCACTGAATCACTGCGCGGCTCATTACACACCGAATTCGGGTGATAAAACTGTCCTCCAATATGATGATGTTTGTAAAATTGATTTTGGAACACATGTCAATGGTAAATGGATAATGTGTGTAATGTAATGAAATTTCATATAAAATAACAAATAAATTTATTGTAAAAAAAAAAGGTCGCATAATAGATTCCGCATTTACTCTCACTTTTAACCCAGTTTACGATAAGCTTAAGGAAGCAGTCAAAGATGCAACAAATACCGGAATTCGAGAAGCCGGCATCGACGTAAGATTATGTGATATTGGAGCTGCTATTCAAGAAGGTGAAGTTATATAAGTTTCCCTAATAATCATTTCTTTGATGTTTGGCTAATTCTGTGTATTTTATTAGTCATGGAAAGCTATGAGGTAGAAATCAATGGAAAGACTCATCAAGGTATGAAATATCTTTTATGTTAACATCTATATTTATCTTAAAATTGACTACAAAAATTACGTACCAATATTTAGTTAAACCAATTCGTAATCTGAATGGCCACTCTATACGTCCATATCAGATTCACGCAGGAAAATCTGTGCCAATTGTGAAAGGGGGTGATCAAACTAAAATGGAGGTAAGTTACGAAAAAAAATCATACATTAATTCTTCAAGAGAATTCCAACGTTCCTAATTATTTCATTTCTCTGAACAGGAGGGAGAAAGTTTTGCTATCGAGACCTTTGGTAGTACTGGAAAAGGTTATGTTCATGAAGATGGTGAATGCAGTCATTACGCGAAACGGCATGATATTGGGCACGTTCCTCTACGGTAATTTGTAATAATTTTTCTTTTCTTTTTTTTTTAAAAAAAATTCTTAAATCATTGACTTTCATTAATTTCGTTTTAAAAGAGTTACCAAGGCGAAATCTTTGTTAAATAGTATTAACAAACATTTTGGTACATTGCCGTTTTGTCGCCGTTACCTTGATCGCGTTGGTGAAACAAAATACATACTTGCGTTGAAGAATTTAGTTGATTCTGGAATTGTGGAATCCTATCCACCATTGGTTGATATTAAGGGATCATATACAGCACAATTTGAACATACCTTAATTTTGAGACCTACTTGCAAAGAAGTATGTATTATAATTATAATACTAATAAAATATATATATTCAATGTTTCGTACTAATTTTGTTAATTTGCTTGGTTAGGTTGTTAGTCGTGGGGAAGATTATTAATATTTATAATATTTTAAAAATTAAAATTATTTTTTTTTCGGTAATTTATCTTACTAGCAATAAAGAAATAAATATATTTAAATTTTTTTTTACTGTAAATCAATTCCTGAAGATGTACAAACGCATGTTCCGAAAAAAAACATTGATGAAATGAGTTAACCATCAAGTGGATGAGATGCGTTTATAATAAATTTTTATATACCACTTTCAGGACATGAAATGACATTTAATACAGAATCATTCCACGTTTTTTGAAGCGGATTTTATTTACGATTCATTAACAAATTCATTTTGATTGAATATTAATAACAAAGATAAATTTATTTCCCTGATCAATTTTTTTGCTCGATTAAATATATTTTTTTATTAAAAAAAAAATCAAGAATTTTTCATGATTTACATATAAAACCATTATTATAATTCCTTTAATCGAAGAGACCTAAACAAAGAAACAATGATAATTGAATATTTTTATTTTATTTTTCTGAAAAGAAATCAATAACAATTATGATAATTACCGAAACCCATATCATCATCAGATTCTTCTTTCTCTTCCTCGGCGGGTTTCTTTTCTTCTTCTTTTTCTTCGGCCGCACCACCTCCAGCTGCTGCACCACCACCACCACCAACGGCAGGACCACCTGCACCGGCTAAAATAATTATTTGGGATTTTAAAGCATTTTTAATATTTTCGCGATCAAAAATTTTTAATCAGATTTTTTTTTTTTTTTTTCATGGTGAAAAATACTTACGAGTACCAACATTCATTATTAAATCAGCGATATTTTTTCCTTCAAGGGCTTTAGCGAACAAAGTCGCCCAAACTGGTTCAGCATCAATACCAGCTGCCTTTGTTAAAGTTTGTAATTTATCAGCCTAAAATGAAAAAAAAAAAAATTAAAATAAAAATAAAAAAGAATTGATTTTAGAGATATTCATTTTTTTTAAAATAAAAAAGAAAATATCATAAAATAATTTTCCACATATTTATTTAATTCTGTGACTTATAATAATTCCCTTGTCCAAAACCTTCAAATAATGATAATGAAAAAAGAAAATATTACATACAGTAACCTCAACCCCGTCGTCACTGAGGATGAGTGCAGCATAAACAGTTCCAAGTTCAGAGGTAGAAGTCATTTTTTTTTCTTTTGTTAAATTTGATGGATTGAGATAATTCGTGTGCGCAAGTAACGATTTAACTCACAGAGGAGATACAATACGCTTAACACGAATGTATATGAATTGAGAAGTAAAAAAAATTGATTTAAAAAAATTTTTTTTTAAATTTATATCCAATTACATGAGATTCACATGCCAATCTATTTAATCCAATTGGTTAACATCGATCTAAACCTTTCAACTGAAAATATTCAAAATTCATGAATTGGTAATATTATTTAAGCTTTAAACTTAATACTTTATTATTAAAATACCAATAGTTTTATTAATGTTAGTAAAAATAATTCTCTTAATTCTTTATATGAAAGCTTATCTAATAAATAATAGGAAGGGATTAGTTAGATCAGATATCATGAAAGTTTAAATAAATGAAATACTTTACCTTTTACATACATGTATTGCTATTTCTTTTTATTATAAAAACCAGTATTGTTGTTTTATATACCAGAATTTGAAGTTTAAAGTATGCGATTTGTAATTATTGAAGCAATTCATGATGTTATAAACCAACAAATATTTTTAGTACATGTTACTTTAGTCAATGTTATTCATATTTATATAACTTTACGACGATCCAGAATGGTTTATTAAGGCAGGTAATGAGAAGGTTGCGCTACTAAAATGAAAATTGAGCCTTAGTGCACGCCGAAAACATGACACTCAAACAACTTAAAAAATGAGAAATCTTTAAACCGAGAAAAAAATTCCGATATAAATGATTTTAAATATTAAGTTAGCTTATGAATTTTAATTAATTAACTTGTTTAAAATTTATTACATAAAATACTTGATATTATAAATGATATAATATTTTCATGTTATATAAAATATTTGTTGATATTAAATTAATTAATCTAAAATAAATATTATCTTTGATATACTATAAATTAATTTATTAACGATAAGTATCGCATTGACAAATTTTGATAAATCACGTGATTTAATTTGTAAACTATAATGCGATATTTATTTCATTTCTTTTTTTAGTCTATGCTTCCACATTCTAGATTGCCCTTTAATAGGTAAACTAGGGATCCGAATATACTCCGAAATCCGTAATATTGGAACCTTACGTTTTTAAAATATGAATTGTTTTAGCTAATTTTAATCACACTGTTTTTTAAAACTCATTATTTTCTATAAAGAGAAATTTTATTATCATTTAACTTCATTTGACATGATAACGATAATGAAATCTTTAGTATAATAATATAAATAACAATACCTTTTAACCAATCAGAAATAACCGATTTGATCGAAATTCTTTTTTTAATATTCTTACAATTGATCGGAATAACCTATGAAATAATACAGAAGATTTTTATTCTTTTTTTGGTTTAGTTGCATTTTGTTCTTTTAAAACTTATTTGGCAGATGCACCATTTAAATTAAAAAAAAGAAAATCTCTTGTTAAACATGATGATGAAAAATTCACTGGATATCCTTCAAGTCGAATGTTATATTGTACGACTCCTCTGAAAATATGATTAAATATATAACGTTGTTTGTTTTACTTTATACCCTTTCAATTTCCTTCATACTTCCTTGATACTTCGTTGGTAATTCCTTTCATTTTATTCTCTCTCTCCATTTCTTATCATCCTTTCCTTTATCCTACCTACCATCGAAGTCACTCTTTTCGTTTGTTGTATAATTATTCTTCTTTTTTTTTTTAAAAAAAAAATCCCTTATAATAATACCGCATACGAAATAATAAGAACAACAGCGAGTAAAAAAAGTATGAAGAGTTTATATACAAACCTCTTCCCTCTTTTAGCAGCGGCTAGTTTGGTAGCTGGCCAAACTGCAAAACTTGGTCAATGGGATTTCGTTGGTCACTCTGGAGTGTCCACTATGCATGGTATCCTTTCTCCTGGTACAAACAAAGTGTTGTTCATTGAACGTGTAGAGTTGGCTACCGAAGTTACAATCAATGGTAAACCAACCTATACAGTGGAATATGACCTTGACACAAATACAATAAGACCTTTGACCACCATATCAAACACCTTTTGCTCGGCCGGAGGTTATTTAATGAACGGAGTAAGTTTTTATTATTTTTCTTCATTTTTTAAAATAAAAATTTTATGTATAATCTTATCTGATTTTCGACTTTTTCGACCTTTAGACTGTGATGAATTTAGGTGGTGCTGAATCTGCTCAAGAAGTTAATCAGGGGTTTAACAAAATTCGAACTTTCGAACCATGTAACGACGGAAAATGTGATTGGATGGCAAATAATATTGACCTTTCAGTACTTCGTTGGTATCCAACCGTTGAACAACTGGCTGATGGTACTTTGTTTATTCTTGGTGGTGCTAATAAAGGTGTAGCTGTTAATGAACCTAAAACGAATGTGCCTAGCTACGAACTTTTTCCACCAAGAGGAAAAGGTGGTTCGTACCCCATTGATTTTTTGACGGAAACTTTGCCATATAATTTATATCCTAGTGTTCATCTTCTTCCTGACTCAAACCTTTTCATTATGGCAAATACAAAATCAATTATTTTTGACACAAAAACCTTCACAAAGAAAACTGATTTACCGGAAATCCCAGGACCTCCAAGACATTATCCTTTAACTGGAGGGTCTATTATCTTGCCATTAGATCCTGCAAATAATTATGAACCGGAAATTCTTGTTTGTGGTGGGGCTGATCAACTTACAGCAAATGCTAAGGGGGAAAATACTTGTGGGCGTATTAGACCATTATCTAAAAATCCAACTTGGGATATGGAAGAAATGCCATTTGGTCGTTTAATGCCTGATATTGCTTTGTTATCTAACGGTGATGTCATGATTCTTAATGGATGTTTAAAGGGTACCGCTGGTTTCGGTAAAGGCACAGATCCTGTACTTACCCCAATTATGTATAATCCATCTGCAAAGAAAGGTGCTCGCATGACTCAATTACAACCTTCTTATATTCCACGAATGTACCATTCTATCGCTTTCACTGTTCCTTCAGGTCAATTGTTAGTTTCTGGATCGAATCCAAATAAGAATCCAACAGGAGAGGGTCCCTATCCAACTGATTTTCGTGTTGAACTTTTCACGGCACCCTTCCATTTCACAGGTCAACCACAACCATGGATTAAACAAGCCCCCGCCGAGATAAAATATGGTCAAAATTTTGAAATTGAACTTGTAACCTATTCCGAAAAACCTAAAATTTTTGTCAATATTTTGAATTCCGGATTCGTTACACATTCATCTCATATGTCCCAACGTCAAATCTGGTTAGAATCTGAACTTAAGGCTGATAAATTATCTTTGAAAGCTCCACCAAATGGTGGCGTTGCTCCACCTGGTCCTTATTTAATGTTCGTTGTAGATAATGGTGTTCCTTCAAAGGCTGTTTGGATTATGCTTGGTGGTAAATAAATAAGTTATAATCAAAAGTTATGACCAAAAGTAAATTATATGATAAAAATCGTGGATTTAAAATAATATGGTTTGGGGATAAAAAATGAGTTGGCATTATTATAATTAGAAATAGTGTATGTATAATTCCCTTTTTTTTTTTGTTTAATATTTCTTATATAATTTGTAATTCAATTTGCATTTACAAAAAGAGAATTTGTTTGCTTGGTCGGCAACATCAATCGGCAACAAAAATCACAATACATTTCTTTCTGTTTAATTTCGTCAATTTCGTCACAATTTGTTTTATATTGTCTATACGTTTATTAGAAATTTGTAATTTTATGTTTTTTAGAATTTAACTATAAATAATTTATAAAATTTATATTTAAAATGCTGAATTTGCGTGCGTTTTAAATTTATTTTTATTGTAGTCCACCTTTCCTTTTAATTACTTAGTAAATTCTGGAAAATTTCAGTCCCGTATCTGTCCAAGGTCATCGAAACTCTAATGCCTGGTCAACAGAAGACTTGTTTGATATATGGTTCACTTTATAAAGTAATGACCTCTCCAATGAAATCAATTTAGATTTCACTAGAGTGCCTTGAACCAAAAAGAAATTGGTGATTTCAATAAGTTTGATAAGGATTTTTCTTAGAATTTTTGTTTTACTTTATTATATGTAAAAAAAAAAAAACAAATACAAAGCACATAAAATGAAGGAATGAAATACTAGTTAGTAAAAAAAGAAAAAATTAAAAAATAAAAAAAAAATGACATCAAGTAATATAATTAACAAATCCTAATTATGAGACACTCTTTACGCTTCCATTCATCGTACAGTTTCATGCATTGAAAATTCAACTGTTTTAAATGGAATATCATCATCAGAATCGTCTTCATAGAAAAGCGGGCTAAAAGAAAATTGTTGAGAGATTATCGGCTTGATTTCGTAAATTGAAATAGAGAAAGTAAAAATACACACAGTTTTTGGGAAAATACTTTAATCTGCCGTATATGTGTGTCTTTCCCGTTTTGATGATTTGACTTGATGGCTATTTGGAAAAGATGTGCTCCTACCGGACGACTTGTCCTACTACATAAATTATATATCCATAAATTATTAAAAAAAATTGAATTAATAAAAATATAAAATAAAAAGAATAATAAATATATAATGATATTATTAATACCTTAATACTTCATCTCCACTGAGCTGTATATCCACCCACCTTTGTGGTTCATCAAGTTCAACAGTTCTCAAATCCTTATTAAAGGTCAAATATTTCAAATTAATATATATATATATATATATTTGTTGCAATGAAATCCATTGATTTACCTGAAGATCTCCATTATGAGTACCGGCTCTAATAGTTATTTTATTGGGTGTATAACTTTCATCATTTTTGAAATCAAGCCAAAGTGATATTTGCTAATTGTTATCGAAAATAAAATAAAAATATAAGAATAATAATAAAAAAAAAAAAAAAACAAGGGATTACATTACATCTTTTGTATCATAAACTCTAAGTGGGAATGAGAATCTTAATTCTTACCACGACATTGACTTTTTGTGGAAATTGGATACTAACAATGTGTGGTAAAATACCATCCGATCTAAATAAAACAAAATAAAATGGAAACGCGTATGATCACAGCCCTAACGAATCAATGATAAATTTTCAAACGTACTGCCAATATGTCAAGAAATTATCATCACGCAATTTATCTACACCATTACCAGGTTTCCAACTTGATAGTGACCAAATTGCCGATGAACCGATTTCGCGTAATTCTTTTTTATAATATTATTTAATTAATAATAAAATCAGGGTATTTACACGTAAAATTAACTTTATAAAACGCGATTTTACCTTCGTGTTTGAATTCACTTTTTATAACTTTTTGCTCTCTTTTTTGAGAGTATGCATTTTCATCATCGTCAACAAGATCTGCCATATCTTCCTCTTCTTCGTCTGCGTCTTGCATGTTGTTTAAATCGTTCATAATATATTCTGTCATTTTTTTTTTTTAAAAAAAAAAAAAAAAAAAAAAAATAGAAGAAAAAATGATAACGATAGATCGTCAATAAACTTATGCAACATTAGAGGGGTGTTATTACTAGGAGGATCATCGTCACACATTTTACCATAATTATTATATAAATATTTACTCTAAAAAATTTAACACCGCATATATTAGGACCGTACCGTTACCACCAATCCAATTGAAAAATATTACGAGAATTCAGGAAATAATCAAGCTGTAACGTTATAGTTAAAAATTTTGTCGAATGATTTGGCGAATGCAAGAGCGAAACGAGAAATTGTACGAAATATTTTACAAGGATTA